GTATTTCAACACCCTCAAACCACGGCCAGTAAGAGAAAAATATTACATATTTGTATAAATGGATTATATACATTAGTTTTTAATTTTTAGTTTGTATAACTATTTATAAATAATACAGAAAAATAACATTTACTTTTAGTATTATTATTTGTCTGTATTATTTATTTTTATTTATTGTTAATGTGCTCTTTGGACACTATTATAAATGTCCTTAATTGTGACAGATTGTAATATCTCTCAATAAATATGTTTAAAAAAAAATTTTTTATTGGCCATATATATATTTTCTTTCTTTATTAGTTCATTATTGTTATTCTTTAGGTTCTTCTTGTTTTCCTTGCCACAGAATAAAGTTTATTTTTCTATCTATCTATCTATCTACAGGTACTTTAGAGGAAGAAATTTTGAGGAGAAGACCTAACCGATATTACAGACTATTTAATTTTACATCTCGATATAATGAGTTTAGTCTAAATCCTAAATCGTTCTATTGAGATAGGAAGGATATAAAGAAGAACAAATTTTAATACTAGAGTCAATAAAGATTCATACTTCTCAAATACAATAGAGTAAATTGCTTATTAATGGAAAACTAGTACATGAATGGAAGCAGTAGTTGAGCTTGCACGATAACAGACAGTGATCATCTTGTTTACCTTATATCTGCATAGAATAGGAAGGAGTAGGGGACTCTCTGACTGCCAATGACATTGCAGACACTTTGCAATCTATGCGCATTAGGAGCAACTATTAAGGAAACAGCGCATTCAATTTATGATCTCGGTTATTAATCAGTTCAAGTCAGAAGGCTGCAAGATCGCATAGATTAATAAAAAGTTTGGTCGAAACCGTTATGGCGGGTTACGTAAAAATTAAATAAAAAATTAAATTATAGTACAGACCCCTCTTTTCAAATTATTCTGCTAAAACCTCGTAAATGACTTAATCTGATCTGAACCTACAGATTTTTATCTACGAAAATACTCAGAAAAGGGGTCTCATTAAATTAATTAGTTTAAAATTAAATTTTAAAAAATCTAATTTTTATTTAATTATCAATATTTTTTTTATATAAAATTAAACTCCCATACGTATCTTACATAACAGATGATCATGCTCTTCTTATGATGTATTTACGTACTATCGAGCATTTACATAATAATGTTTGTATTGGCAGATGCAGCTTTCATTTTTCTAAATAAAAACTTAGTGTTTTTTTTTATGAGAATAATTTAATATATTTTGTCTCTTTTTCTTTCTTTCTTTTACATTTCTTGAAGTGTATATTTATGCTTTTCAACCATTATATATAGTTTTAAGTGTTTTGTTCACAGTTTTATCTGTTTATATATAGCTTGTTCACTTAAAGTTTTGTTTTTAAATTTATTTATTATTTCAAATTTTTAGGCCATAAGTAGACTTTTTGTACAATTTAGTCATCCTAAAGCGACTTTGTCCTAACCTAAATTTGTTTTCTATCTATCTATCTATAACTAATTTAATGAGGCACTAAAGCTCATGAATGCTTGTTTGCTTGCTATGATAACGAAATCAAGAAAAAATGTGGCTATCAAAAATATTGGGCCTATATAACCTCGTTATTTTGACAGGTGGAGTTCTTTAATGTGATACTTTCAGGTCAGTCTATTTTATAGACAAACTAACTGTAACATCCCAAGCATATGCTCATACGTACACAGAAATAATTTTACATTAACCTTTTTTTTTTTCTTCAATCATTTCTAATAATCCAAAGTAAGGAGGTGAAATTTTGGAAAATTCTGCATTTTTAAGCCGTTTTTATTGAGAATAAGTTCCGATATAACTGATAATAAAGATCTAACTTTACATTGATCTAACGAGTTTTGTTGAAACCGTTAGAACCGTTTTTTATAAAGTTGTAAAAATATGTCAAACCGATGACACGAAATGCCAAGGTCTACGAATATGCCTCGTCCACCATATAGTCCAGACCTCGCACCATCGGATTACTACTTATTAAGATCCATGATTCATTTTCTTCAAGGTAAAAAAATTGATAATTTTGCGGAAGTTGAAATTTCGGTCCATGAGTTCTTTGACAGCCATCCCAAAGAATAGTATCAGCAATTGGTTAGCAGATGGCCAATGACGGTAGACAACAATGGACTTACTTTGAGTATTAATTTTATTTTAAATTAAAGAAATAATAATACTTATATTTGGTTGAAAAACGGTAATTTTTTTTTTACACACCCTATTACTTCACATTCCATTATTAAAGACATTTAAAACATCAAATGCCCGATCGCACTGAAGAATTATTGATTGATTACTTTTGAAAAATTACAAAGAACGATTAACGAGTTTCAGTGTTGAACCTCTTTTCGTTTTTGGGCAGTTCACGAACACGCACACACACCATTTTGCGAGAATTTCTCATTTCGACTGAAACATGTATTTGCGATAAAATCCCGGCTTCAAACATTTTCAAGATCTTTCCCTCCGTATATAATCCATATATAAACCAGGAAAATAGGATTTTGCTTAAAATCTCAGGGCCATTAAAAAATATACATATATATACCAGTACCACTACAACCCATGAGGGTTATGGGTTAGGTACATTGTATGGAAGTATTGTTTCAAGGCCAACAGTTGTTCAAGGAGCGCTAATTTTTTCTCTTAATTAATTATTTCATCAAGAGCATCCACTTTATAAAGGCTGGGTGTGCAACAAGAGGGCCTCTTGATCCCTTAGTCGATCCACGCCTAATTTAACAAAATAAATAATTACCTGTAGCAACCGGATTCGAACTTGAAACCCTGAGCATAGAAATTTGGTGCCTTACCCAACGAGCTACTCCATTCTAAATATTTAATATAAATGTAATTGAAAGTAAAAACGGGATATAAAAATAATAAATAAATTATCGTTTTCGTACGTCATGTTTTAAAGAATAAAGAGAAAAAGTACCTGTACCACTACAACCCATGAAGGGTCATTTGGTTTTAGTACTTTGTAAGGAAGAACTGTTCTAAGGTAAGCGGTTTTACAGAGAGGTGGTAGGGCCGGGATCACGCCCAACCGCCAGGTATTCCCCTTTAATTAATTATTTAATTAAGAGTAACCACTTTATAGAGGCTGGGTGTGCCCCAGGAGGGTCTTCCGACTCCATGGTTGGACCGCGAATTACGGGAAATTGTGATCTGTGTCCTCCTTCTGAGTACCAGAATGCGGAACCGTTAATAGAAGAACAGAGTAAAGAGGAAGTGGAAGTAGCTATCGGAAAATTAAAATCTTATAAAGCAGCGGGAATCGATAATATTCCTACTGAACTAATTAAGGCATGTGGGGAAGCTGGATTTTCTAAAATACAACTGCTTTTTAAAAAGTTCTGGGCGAATGAGAAATTACCTGAACAATGGAAAGAATCTACCCTTAATCCGATACACAAAAAGGGTTTGAGGACGGATTGTAAAAACTATCGAGGAATTTCACTCCTTCCGGTATGTTTTAAAATATTTTCTTTAATCTTAAGAAGTCGAATCACAGAATACGCCGAGAAAATTATCAGTGACTATCAATCGGGGTACAACGGTATTGTTCACCAGCTGTATCGATTTCAAAAAGACTTATGATTCTATTGACCGCCAGAAACTGTATAATATTCTAATTGAGCAGGAGATTCCAAAAAAATTAGTTAATCTAGTCAGGATTTGCTTGACGGAAACACTCAATAAAGTTGGAATCGGGAATAATTTATCCGAAAATTTTGAGGTTCGTCCGGGTTTAAAACAGGGTGATTCCCTTTCACCTGCCCTGTTCAATTTGGCATTAGAATATGCCATTAGGGAGGTGATGCGTACCGAAAAAGGGTTGGATCTGGGTGGAAAACAACCGTTCGAAACACTATGCGGATGATTTCGTCCTGTTAAGCGAAGATACGGAAACTATAAAACTAAATACGTTAATGAAAGCCGTTACAATACTAGGGCTCGAAATAAACATGGATAAGACAAAATATATGGTTAGCTGCAAAAATAGCAATATCGCTGGTGATATTGATATAGAAGGTAGCATGTTTGAACAGGTAGAGAAGTTTAAGTAACTAGGGTCTACGATAACTAGAAAAAACGAAATTGAAGAAGAGATTAAGGTTAGGATGAAGGCGTGAAATGCTTGTTATTTTTCTGTGACTAAACTACTTAGCTAGCGCATCTTGTCCCGGAATTTAAAGACTAGAATCTATAAAACCATTATCCTACCTACAGTTCTTTATGGGTGCGAAACGTGGCCACTTACATTAAGAGATGAACAACATTTTAAGGTTTTTGAAAATAAAGTATTGCGTAGAATATTCGGACCGAAGAAAGATGAGTTAACTGGAAAATTCAGAAGGTTGCACAACGGCGAGTTGCTTTAACTGGATCCAGTTAATATAATTGAGGTGATTACATCGCGGGGAATCAAAAGGGCTTGTAAAATAGTTGGGCTTAATAGTTGGTAACGAAAGAATCCCTAAAAAGGTTGTTATTTGCTGTACCGAATGGTAAACGTCCGAGGGGTAAACCGATGCGAAGGTGGGAAGATTGCGTTAAAACCAATCTGAAGGGACTGGGTTTGGACGGCGAACGGTGGAGGGAGGTGTGTAATAAGCGATTGGTGGTGTCGGCATCGAACCTCCAGGTTAGCTAAGCCTTTTATTATTATTATTATTGAATATTGTGTTCAAATGAATTTCATTAATTTTTATTTAGTTCTTATTACGCATAAACAATTAATAATCACTGATTTTCCTCAAACTTTCCGAACGCTAGATTTAATACTACGTTCTCCGCATTTATTGTATTGAAGTCAACGAATGCCTTTGCCTCTTATATTTCTATTTATAAATAAATATAATGTTTGCGTGCCTGTTTAGTTACGCAAACTGTTTGACGCCCACATCCATCATCTGCATAGCCAGCCTACATGATGATTATCCTCGGACGTTGATATATTAGGCCCTGGGTGCATGATGATTGGCTGGGGCATTAATTGCAGTGCATGTCCCTCGGGTCCGTACACGGGGGCTCATCAACTCGGACCTTGCAATATGTCCGCCGGAGCAAGTCTCCAATATTGGAACGGATCTAGCAAATACCAGCGGCCTCTCTCACATCGGATCAATAGGCAGTCTGCTGTGCCCACTAATGCCATCCTGGATTACATCACTTAAACCCCTATTTAATTACTAAATTTAGTGTTTTATTAATTAATTCTGGCAGAAATAATTTCTACATCAAAGATATCTATGAAAATCAAATACATAATACGTTTGAAGAGCTACTAAGTTTGTCTTTCACAGATTCAACAAATATTGCATGTCTTACTTCATTCCTCCGCAAATATTTATAGTTCTGAGAAACAACACTTCATTCATTAATAGTTGAATGTTGCAAAACTACCGAGTTTTCTGATAATTTAACTCCAGTCGCTCTTTCCTTGTAATTTAAATCATCACTGGAAATGGACCAATCATGATTTTTTTGATTGGAATGAAAATACATAGTTCCCACATTCCGCCATAATCCCATAAATTCATTCTACACATGACTGTTCTTTAAGAAAAACCTTCATAGTTTAAATTTTGCGGAGGGTGATTATCATTTTTATAATATTAATTATTAATATTTTTATTTTTGAGAAATTTAATTTAATTTTTAATTTGGTGGATAGGACCTAAATAGCTCAGTTAGTAACGCACTGGGCTCTTATTTCTCAGAGCCGTGTTCAAGTCCGGATGTGGCAAATAATAATTCATTTCTGAAGTGAGTCGGCTGTTAGTTAGGATACAGTAAGTTTTTTAAAGATTTTTATTGCCTAATTTTCAACCCAAGCTTGTTGGTCATCGTCAGGGCATGCTACCAGCGCTGAAGGTGTTCAAGTACTCAAATATTTACAGCTCAGTACTCAAGTATTTACCACTCTGTATCTGGATTGGGCCAGATCTGAAACATAAGAAACATTAAGGTCATTGTGGATGGTTTTATTTGTTAGAAATTGGGGAGCATTGTGGATTTTACGAAGGATATTGGATTGTAAGGATTGGACACGAGAGGAATTCGATGGTTTAGTGGAGCCCCATAGCTCAACTACGTAATCCCAAATAGGCCTTATTATAGTAATGGATATGAATCTTTTGTAATTAATTGGAAGTTTAGAGCATTTGTCTAGTAAGTGCTGAAGTAATCGAAAACGTCGAGGGGTTTCTTGTCGTTTCAGTCTAGTTAATAATAAAATAAAATATAAACTATGATTTAAGGTGAGGAGATGTGCCATGTTTTGATTTGTTGTTTTTTTCGCGTTACTTCCAATACCAAACTTATTTTACCATATTGAGTACAACAAATTACATAGAGCACTGTTCGCATTGAATTTTTATACAATTAAATATTTTTGTGATAAGACTACTTCAGAGAATTAAGGGAGACCTAATTCCTTTTGTTGAAAAGATCAAACGGGACCCAATTTGGGTACGTACAGAAATAGTACTTGATGTTTGTAGTGATACAAATGTAATTTTTAAACACATTTGGTAGCTGATTTTTAATGAATTTTATTTTGTCCTTGGAGGATGGTTTGGAAATTCCTATGTTATTAGGTTTTCCCGCTAGCCATACGTCATAATGAATTTCAATGATAACATAGAATCAGTTATTTTTATAATTAGTTCACCTTTAACTGTTTGGAAAAAAAAACTTTTATCAATAACAGGTTAATAACAGTTTTAAAACTGTTAAATAAAAGTTCTGGCTTAAAAAAGTTTTTTTATTTTTTTAATAAATATATAAATGTCATAAAAAAGTATTTGTAAAACTTTTACTTATTCCTTCTAAAATAAAAGTTGCAAGTAAAAAAAATTACAAATTATAACAGAAGTTCATAATTGTTATACTGCTCAGTACTCGGAAGGAAGACCAATCAGTTTCGGCTATCCTGGATAATATTTCAATGTTAACTTAAGCCCGTCTTACACGGTCAATATTATTGAAACAACATTCTAGAACGTTGTATACATAGTACAAATGTCAATATAATTGTTACAATATATCCCTCAGACGGTCAATATATGCGATATTAATTCAATAATACTGAACGTTTAAGGTGGGTTTTAGAGAATATTATATAATGCAGAGTTTTATTTGTTAATCATAATTTTTTTATTAGAAAATTAAAAGATTTATAATTTTTGAATCAACATGATACAAACTATCTTGTTCCATACCTTTTAAATATTTGCTATGTTAAATGCATGGAAAAATTATTATAATGTTTTATATATCTTACGTATGTATAGTCATGAAGATATTTTCTGTTCATAAAAACATGTTACTTTTTTCAGTAAAAAATATTGAAATAAGTGGTTTGTAAGAACTGTTATACATAAAGGTACATGTACGTTACTACATGTACATGTACAGGTAAAAGTAAAATTTTTACTTTTAATAATAGAATTCCCATCCTAGTGATGCGGCTGAGAGAGAAGCGCTGGGATCTCTTGGAGTCTTGCCTTGTCCTCCACACGTGGGGGAAAAGGCCCGACTCGGAGCTCCCTCGGCTGACTGTAAATAAGTTTGAATGTGTTTTTATTTATTATTTATTTTATTTTATTTTAATTTTTATTTAATGTTATATCAGTTTGATTTATTCTGTTACTCCAAGTTTTATTTTATTTCATTTTCTTATAATCTTGTTATTCTTTTATTGTATATATGGTATGATTGTACTTCATTCATCATAAATAATCAATGCCCTTAATTGAGGCAAAATGTATTTTTTTTTCTCTCAATAAAAAAAAAAAAACTTTTAATAATAACAGATGAGCTATGGGTCTCCACTAAACCATCGAATTCCTCTCGTATCCAATCCTTACAATCCAAAATCCTTCGTAAAATCCTAAATGATCCTTACTTTGTCACAAATAAAAAAAATCCATAAAGCCCTTAATGTTCCATATGTTTCCGATTTGGCGCAATCCAGATACCTATCCTTCCATAATAAACTTCCGAATCCTCTTGTTTCTAACCTTGCTTCTTCTTCAATTCCTGATAATCCTCCGAGGCGTCTGAAAAGAAGATGGCCGCGTGATCTCCTTTTGTAGACATATTATTAGAGTGCTACCGGTGGGTAGTTTCTCAACAAGCGTTTTCATGAGATTATATTTTTGGGTACACATTTAATTGGTGTATTTATATTAATACAGTTGTAAATATCATAAGTAAAAAACAAAAAATAATAACAGCTAACTGTTTCATTCAACCTCTGCATAGAATAATTATTTCTGAAAATTAAAAAAAAAAACAAATATTACGTAGTTTTATTCCCGTTGATTTGTTATTTATGAATTTTATGTTTATTGGTTCTATTTTTGTAAGCTGCATAATTAAAACCCACATGATTTTTATTTCATCACTTCAGCTAGAGAGTATTCTGCAATTTACAAATATTCACTTCTCCCCATGGGTTTTTAAATAATACAATAGAAGATATTAACCTGTTTCTCATATCATTAATTTATTTATATGTATTGTTCAACTCCCAATTTAAATATTAGAACATAATGAACGGAATTAAAATTTGACCTTCGTTTATCCGGACCGATCTTGGTTCATCATGATTTAATTTTTTTTAAACAAAATTTGGATTGCTTGGAAGCATAGTTTTTTTTTTTGTTTGTTTTTTTAGCACAAATATTTTTATTAATTGAATTTAATAGATTGACTGGACAATTCTGAAAAAAATAGCTTCTTTGGAATGTTGCGTGTTTAATTTTTTTAATCTATAATTTCAAAATAAATGTACCATCTGGGTTTTAAAAAAAATTTTGTCTCGCTAAAATTTAATGTTTTTTTTTTTTGGTTATTACAACAATCTGTCACTTGGACATTAGTTATTATGAGGGATGTAAAAATTAAACTTCTATCTACTGCAAGTTCTAATAACAACATTGTAGAGATCGGTTATAAATAATTAAACCTGTATGAAGTAAATATACGCTTTTTTTTTAAATTATAATAATTCATATTATAATTCAAAACCATAAGTAATTTTCTGTTTCTTTCGAACTAATTTTTATATAAAATAACGAAAAGAATGCATGTTGTATTTTTCACTCAAACAATTTAAAAACGGTTTTATTTTATTTTGTTTTCATTTTCATAAACATTTCTTTATTGAGTAATATTTTTATATTTTGTCACAATTTAGGACTTTAGTATCAGTGATTAGAGAGTAGCTCATTCGCACACTATTTATAAAAAATAAAAATAAATTAAATAAAACAACAGAAAAATAACAATACTAAAATAAATATATATTAACCAAAAGAAAATTAAATTAATCAAAAATAACAGTTTTTTTAAATTTATTTATTCAGTAATATAACAATTTGTCACACAGAAAATCATTATAGTGAGGAATGAACACTAGTGTTGCCGAAATGCGAGACCGTGACAAGTCTTGGTCTTTCAAACTCAGTCTTGATCTTGCGCAAGAGTCTCGCAACAAGTCTTGCTGTTACGTATTACCTTATTACTATAGAGATATTACTGTAATTTTATAGATAGGAGAAACCTAACTAAGTACGAATGAAAAATTATAAGAGTTAAATGCAAAATTATATTGGTTATAGCAATTCTTTACATATACTAATTAAAATTTTCAGGTATTAGTAACTATTTTGCCTTAATATTTGTTCAAAAAATCGATTTTTTTACCACTTATACTCTTTTAATTATACTCTTGGTCTTGGTCTTGCAACAGTTAGGCGGTCTTAGTCTTGGTCATGCAGAGTGCAAGAGCAAGACCGATTTTGGGCAACACATTCACTCCATATATGCAGAAAAACTAAAATAAACAAAAGCTATATAACCTAGTTGTTATTCTTATTATTTAGTAATAATAATAAAAAAGTATATACATTAAAAAATAAAATAACTTAAAGATAAGTTATAAATGCATTATAAAAATCCCAGTCATACCTAGTAACTTAACTACAGGCATACTTATGTAGAATATTTACAAAACATCATGCTGGATAACTCCGAGTTGTGCTTTTCCCCTCACATGTAGGAGGTCTCAGCGCCTCTCTCCCAACTAAAAAATTATTACAAAGTTTATAATACGGTATATTTTAATATCTGGAGCTAGAATAGATTAGTTGTTATAATCAATGCT